ATGGAGAAGAAAATATCCTTAATGCTTTGGCTGGCTCTTGAAAACCTATTCCTCATACTGGAGTGCCTGAGGAAGGATGGATTGGGGTGGGGGCAAAAGGGATTTGGGGAAAGGAATGGGGAGAGAGGAGGGAATGAAAACTTTGGTTGGGCTGTAAAATAAATAAATAAATAATAAATAAATAAAGTAATCATACTTTCTTTAGCATTTTAGGAGTGCTTTCTACTCTGACAAAATGAACAAATTTAATGGGAACATAATGAAAGTTTTCAATATTTCATGCCTTCTTATTAGCTAAAATGAACAATATAAGTATCACTATCTAGTAGAAATTGACATGTTTGCCAGATATCATATTCAGATCTGCACTGACTACAACTTTTCCTGTAGATTTATTTAAGAGACCCACACAAGTATTTTGTTTATAATTTTGTATGTATATGACTTGTATGCATGTGTACATAATGTTCCCTATATAAATGCATATGTTTATACAACATATGAATATATAAACTTACAGATAGATAAATACACAACTTTTAGCTTCCTAACCTGGCCATAAGTTTGAATGCTAAATCAGATTTCTCACATAGTTTACAGGAAAGCATGTGAATATTATGTGCACTATGTTAAAATGTAATGAAGGCAAAAGTGTTCTTCATGTACCACAGGAAAGTGATATACATTCATTTATTATCTGAATTAAACAGACAATCCCAATTTATCTTAAATTTGAGTGAATAGTAGTTTTCTAGAAAAGTGACTTGCATTGTGAAAAATAGTAAACATTTTAATTTTAACCTTTAAAATATATTCAAGAAGAATATCATCCTTAATTTCTTCAAAAGCATACACTAGAAGCTAATTCAATTACTTGAAATGCTATAATAATTTAAATATAATATTGCTTTCACTAAGTTGCCAAAAGATGTAGAAAACATTCATTCTTTTATGTGAAAACAGTATGCAGAGTAGTAAAAACTCACTAATCCTCCCTCTCCAGGATACTGAATAGCTCATTTAAAAACATTTCTAAGAATTTTACAGAAGAATAAAAGACTTTTCAATGTGAAGAAAATTACTGCCTTGTCAATATCCATAAGCAATTTCACTGTTTGTAAAATTTTATTATTAAAAAGTACAACTTCTCCATGATTGATATATTAGCCTAAGGATTCAAATGTCACATATATTTCTGCTTACCTTTGAGTAAATGCCAAGTAATAACATGATGATTTCTACATTTCTTTAAGTTGGAAAGCAGGCTACATTTAGTTTAGTACAAGAGCAATGAAAACTTGATAAAGAGGTCATTTCTGGATTAAAAATATCTAACAAAATTTCATTGAGGGTAAAGTGTGAACATGATCACTTTGAAATATGTTAATACCAGAATTAAATATTCTATATTTTGAAAGAAAAATGAAAACATAAAAATGTTCAGAAATATGTGTTTTGATAATAATCAGAAATAGTTTAAAATAAACTAATATTCCAGATTAAAACCAATGCTAATACTAGGAACAGAATTCTGATGACATATAATTTCATGAAATTACTACAAGTATAACCAAAGATGAAAAGCACAAGTGTAAAAGAAACAAGGAAGATGTGAAATGATGAAGAGTCTGAAAATTGGTGGGAAAAGAGATATTTGAAATATAACCTGTTATATTTTGACAAAATTTTGATTCTGGTGTAGATTATTTTAGGGTAAAAAAGTTACTATATCAAGGCTAAAAATGAGGTAAGAAGCAGGGCAGGTTTAGAGTCTTGCTTTGTATCCTCATTGGATAAACTCTTTGAAGAATTCAGGTCAAGGCTTTTGTTCAAAAGGTAACATTAAGAATTTTAGAATACACTTCAAGAAGGCCTTGTGGGGTGGGATAGTAACTTTAAGGCAATGTCATGGATTTAATATAAAATGTGGCATTTTGGAATATTTGGTTCCCAGACTGATAGCTGGGAAACCAGCATGGGACTGATCCTAACCCCATGAACATGGGTGTCAGTGAGGAGTCCTCAAAAATCTATGGGGCCTTTTGTAGTAGATCAGTACTTATCCCTAGCATAGGAATAGACTTCGGGAGCCCATTCCACATAGAGGGCTACTCCCTGGGCTTAGACACAAGGCAGTGGGCCTAGGTCCTATCCCAAAGTATATGACAGACTCTGAAGACCCACTAAGGAAGGCCTCACCCTCCTGGGGAGCAAAAAAGGGTATGGGATAGGTAGGGGAACTCTTGCTCCCCAGACTGATAGCTGGAATACCAGCATGGAACTGATCCAGACCCCAGGAACATGAGTTTCTGTGATAAAACCTTGGAAATCTACGAGGCTTCCTGTAGAAGTTCAGTACTTATCCCTAGCATAGGTGTGGACTTTGGGAGCCCATTCCATATAGAGGAATACTCCCTGAGCCAACACACACAGGGTGGGCCTAGGCTCTATCCCAAAGGATACAATAGACACTAGTGACACCCTATGAAAAATCTCGTCATCCAGGGGGAGCATAAAGGACACATGATAGATAGGGTTTTAGTTGGGGGGTGTGGTAGGTGAGGACAGGTGGGAGAAGGGAACTGGGATTGTCATGTAAATCAATCCTGTTTCTAATTCAAGTAAAAAAGTTGAAAAAATGTTAATGTGTGGGAAATGAGGGATTATGAATAAAATATTCACCTGTAATTTAACTTTAATCAAAACAGGAAGATTTGGAACAAAAAAAGAAATGAATCAGTATGCTTAAGTAAATGTATGTTTAATTATTTATAGCAGGTAATAAGGTAACTAAATCAGAAGTGTAAAAATGTATGTACTGGTCCAAAAGTGCACTTCAAAATATTTAGAGGGCCAGTCTTTTAAATATCATCATATTTTTTTGACAAAAATGCTGATGCACTTGAAATTGAGTTACTTTCCCTGATGATTGTGGTCACCGACGTATGCCTTCTTTCTGCTCCACATGACTGTTGCTATTCTTTGTCATATTTCTCCAACTAATATTCTAACACCCCTGTTTTTATTATAAATAGAACTCTGAAGCATTGCTAGCTAAGGGGCTGAGTGGTCCCAGATGAATCGCTAGAGAGAATAGTGAGTAGGCATGCAATAATATGGCACACTCATGCCTATTCATTTCTTATGATTGGAAGTCATCCGTAACAGCAAGTACAGTTTCATTTCTGGGATTTTTACCACAGACATGGACGGTTCTTGCTCATATGTGAATTTATTCATTTAAAAATGATCCAACTCAAACTAACATAACAGGAAAAATCTATAGTTCAAAGAGCATAATAAAGCAGTCTATAAGCAGCAGAGCTTTCTCTGTCTTGCTAAGATGGTTCCCTAGCTGTGACATGCAAATCATGCTGAAAAAGAAAAACAATAAAGTACAATTTATGTATCAATGTACATTCTAAATTGGCTTTCTAATCTCTTGGTTCAGCACAGGATGTTGAAAACCTGCTACACAGTACTAACATTCTCTACGTACACAAAATCACTGCTATATCCACTTGTTCTTTCGAGAAATGTTGGAATCGTCAATGCATTAGATTCTCAGACCTGGATTATATAAATTACATATTTCGTCCCCTGGCACATAGAGCAATTATATAACCACTTTAACCTTCCTAGATTTGAGAATAATTACGTGCAGAGTTGAAAATACAGAGATAGACTTATCTGACAACACAGAAGACACAAAGTCTGAGAAGGAATCCATACTGGCAGCCTAATCTGGGAATTTAAGTAGAATATGCAAACCGCCACAACGATGTACTTCAAAGCTCATGCTAACATTGTAATGGGATTCTGCAATATTCTAAACCGACTTCCTGTTTTACAAACTAGAAATCCCTGAAGGATTTAATAGACAACTTCAGAACAGAAAAAATAAAGAAAAAAGGAGACTCTCTAAAGTGTACTACTTATGTTAATATGATAGCAACTCAATTTATTCAAGTGCTGATCAATGCTAAACAA